TAGATACCTAGTACAAGAAGGACACCTTGGATAAAGTTGTTATACAAAGGTTGAAGATTCTTAAAGGATGAACTTCCAACGTCTCTCTTGGAACTACTTCTAAACAAATAAACTTGTTTAATTCATCTTTCAACAACTCTTTTGATGCCTCTATATAAGGAGTTAGAGATTTGAAGGAAGACAACAACACTACTGCAAAATTGAACAGAAATATGAGTTATTATATATATTCATGTTGTATTTCACATAGTCTTAATATTTCTTAACTTTGTATATCTTAGAATCTCAAGTGTTAAAGTCTTTGATTGTGTTGTATTATTTGTGCACCATGACATACCCATTTTAAGTAGTTTTGAATAATTCCAACACAACCTAAATGATTAAATATAACATCCCTTGGATAATTTTTCATATTTGAGCATTTTTACAAAGGCACCAAAAATTTTCATTTTTGTTAGGAAGGTTTTTTTATGCAAATTCAAGAAATTGAATCACTCAATTATCATACTCTTTACTTACTCGATTGACTTTCTTCCAACTGTGATTCATAATCGCATACTACTTCTAAAAATAAAATATAAAATAGTACACAATCAACAAAAATGAATATTCCATCTCAATAAAATGACAATAGCAACAAACAACATCAACTAAAAATACCTGAAAAACAATACTACATTATACCTTAAGTCTTAAAAAACATAACAATAACAACGACGACGATGAAAACAACAAAAAATCAACGATGGAGAAAAAAACAACAACAACAACAACAACAAACAAGGAGAAATTTATATATACGAGAAATGTGATGAGAGACTCAAAGAAAAAATTTGGTTTGAGGTTTGAGCTTCATTCCTCCTTGGTGAAGATGAAGAATGGTGTTTCAGTTTGTTAGGTGGAGAAGAATGGTGTTCCTTTCATTCACCAGAGAAAAATAGTGTTTCTTTCGTTCGTTATGGCGTAAAAAGTGAACGAGACTTAACATTCTGATGAAGGAATAAAATATTGCTTAGAGTTTTTGTCTCGTTTTTTGTAAAAACTTAGGGAACATAATGAGGTAAAAATTGGGTTAAATTTAATTAAATAAAATATTAATCAACATTTTATATCGGTTTTATAGATACCTGAGGGATAAGATGATTTATAAAATAAAGACGCCTTTTTGGTTCTAAATAAAACTTAAAATTGTAGGAGCTTCAAATCAAAACTCAAACCCTAAGCAACATTTTATGTCGGTTTTGCATAAAATTGAGTTATAAGAGTTAATTTTTAATTAAATAAATAAATAAATGGCACATTCAAGGTCAATTTGACCTTGATTTTTCAATGTATGAAGTGAAAGCTTTGTAATAAAATATATTATGTGTAGTGGTATATTTTTCTGCATAGTATTGAGATATATGACACATAGATGTCAAAGCCTATAATGCCAAAACCATTCGTCCCTACTAGCAGTTGTTGCTACACATTTGTGCTCCATCACTTCCAACTCAACCTTGAAAGTTTCGTTCTTAGACATATGGGCTTTTAGAATCAAATTTCCATTTGAATCCATAACTCTCAAAACTTTGTCTTCCACGTGAATCTTGTAATTACTTTCAAGAAATTGGAATGTGCTTAAAACATTACACTTGATTCTAGGAATGTACAACATATTTGTAATTAAAGAATACTCACCATCCTTTCTCAAGATTGATACATCATCAATCCCCTCTACTGCTAGTGTGTTGTCATCTATAAATTTAACTTTATTCTTCATGGCTTGATTGATCTTCACAAATTAATCCTTCTTTCCAATCATGTGAGTTGAGCATCTTGAGTCAAAGTATCATTGATAATTGTATTTTTCATATTCTCTGGTAGTCAGTTGCATATTTTCTTCTGGTGGTAATTGATTACCAAGGTGTGGTAATCAATACCATTCCCTTCTGCAATAATCACCATCAACAATGTGTTCTCATCATTATTTTCTTGCCTTGCAAGCTTTGTTTCATCTTCTTGTGGACTTTTCTTGTTGTCATAACATTAATTATCAAAGTTTCCAAATTTTTGACAATTGTAGCATTGGACATTGCTCTTATCAAACTTCTTTTTTCCACCTCTTCCATTATTGTTACCACCTCTATTGTTACTACTTTCCGGCTTTTGGAATGTTGAATTGTTAGAATTCTAAAAATTCCTTCCACCATTATTGTGATAGTTCCCTCTAACTCTGTTAACATACCACTTTCACTTCATTTTCTTGTCTCTTAGACTAAAATGGGCATGTAATGCAATTTTAGACATTTTCTTGTCAACATTTCGCTCATCCATCATGTGCTCATGTGCCTCGTGACAAATTTGTAGTTGTTATTGTTGGACTTTAGACTTCACACACAAGATAGGGGTGAATTGTGTGGTTTGGAAAAACATGGTTTTGAAAACTTTTTCGAAGATTAAAAATATAGTTTGAAAAACATTTTCTAAAACCTAATATCTATCAGAGTTAAAAACTTTTTTATAACTTAGCAATGGAAAAATAATTTTGAAATAAAAATGCGGAAAGCAAAAAAGTTAACAAATAAGAAGAACACCGCGATATATAGAGGTTCAGTCAAAACTCAAGGATCTACTCCTCTCCCCAAGAACTGGTCTTAAAAGTTTCCATTAAGTACTTGAGAGCTTTTAATAGGTGAAGCTCACGAACCCCCTTATACAAGGAAATGTTGGTTATCCTACAATCATTATAACACAAGACAAAATATATCAATGTTCGCGTCTTCTCCATTATTGAGACCGAATTGACAAGATCTTTTCCCAACTTATAGATTGAAGCATCATCACTTCTCTCTACTAAAAATATTGATGCTCGATATGGTTTAACATGATAATCATTAACCTCTTGTGATTTTAACAGGCTGATCAACTAACATATAGTTTTATAACGGGTTAACCATGAACCTGTCGATAAGTTCATTAATATTGATGATCTTCAAACTTAAAAATAAAAAGGCTTTACAATAGCCTTAAGGGAAGCTCATCAACATTAACAATCTTCAATCTCGAGAACATGGGAGTTATCACCCAAATCCTCAACCGATTTTTTAACGGGTTTAGCTTCGAACCACATAATTTTTCCCTAAACATGGATGATGTTCATCAAGGTGAAATAATAACAACCTTGAAGAACTTTATACATTTCTACCCAACCAGAAATAAATAAACCTCTCCTCACAAAATTACTTTCCTCACAAAAACATTTGACTATAAGAACTAGTGAAAGAAAGTGACAAAGAATAACTTACACAGAGTGTGTGTGTGTGTGTGTATATACATTTCGAGTTCTTGATGATTTGAACCGAGGAATGAGACCTCTATTTATAGTGTTCAAATCGTCCAAAAGAGAAAATAATATTTAATGATTTTTTACTGTTACGAATCAATTGACACAATTGATTACATTAATTAAACGTAGCGACTAAGTTGTCCAAAATATGCAAGAAGTAACTTGTAGCCGTTGCCAATAGATTGGATATTCAAATTTCCTTTATCTTCAAAAACATGTCAATCTAATCGATTGGGCTAATCGATTAAATCTAGTCAAAATATATTTTTTGACTTTTTGAATGTTCTCATTTCTTTTTAGAAAACTTCTACATATTATTTCTAGATATTTTATTTTCTAAAATATTTTATAAAAAGGATTTAAGTGTGTGTGTGTATGCTTATAGTCAATTACTTCAAAGAAAAAGAACTTTTGCTTACATTGATTCACTCATTGGCTATTTTAGGGTGATCAGCCTAGACCTTGTGTCTGATGTATTCCATATGTTTGACTTTTGCTTTGAGATGGCTCTGAGACTTTTGATTTCTTTTATCTTTATCTGAGTCTTTCTTATTAAACTCATGGTTTGCATTAATCGTTTAAGTGCATTGTCTGACTTTCTCAATTGTCGTATCTTTGTTATGTTGAGTATCGTCTAATCTACTCTTGTATTCATCATGTTCCATCTCTTGTTATGTTGATTGTTCTTTTATTGCTCTTCTTGGTTGACTTTATAAAAGGTTGCATCTTTTATTATGTTGAGTGTACTTTCATTGCTTTTCTATATTAGTCATCATATTGCATCTCTATCATGCTGATCTATCTATTTTGTTCTTTTATTATTGAGGAAAAATTCTATTGCATCTTCAATGTGATATGTGTCTAATATGTACTTCAGAATTGTCCTCATCAAAATCACGGTTACTTAATACCTGCAAAACAAAGTTTCTCGCTTATTTGTTCATTACCAACTCTTATGAGTTTGTAACTTCACCACCTTCATTTTATCATTCTCGTATAAGATTTTTTTTCATAATTTTCAAAACTTACTTTGAAGTTATACAATTACTAACCTTCTCAAAATTATCGCATCAAGAACCGTAAGATTTGTAATAATTCGTTCATTTGAGATGGAGAGTATCTTCGTACACTTAGGTTTAGAAAAACTACACGTTGTTTTTATTGAACCATGCTATCCCAAATGTTGGAACAAAAAATTCAATTAACACGAGTTGAATAATGCAGAAAGAGATAGAGAGAGAGTATTTGATTAGTTCATTAAAGAGATATTTATACAACATTACAACCAACTAATCAACTAAATGAAATAACAAAACTTAACATTGATAATCGATTATAATAAAACTGGAATTACCACATTTTACAACAAATACTAGTGAATTATACACTTTCAAGACAAAATACAATAAAGTTACCTCGTTTTTTTCTACTTATGCGGTAGTGGATTCTAAAAACTCAAAACTTGTTGCCTCTCTTCAACAAGACTTTCCATGTGATTATCATCTCATCTTTTTAGTTGTTTTCATTTTAATAATTATAATAGGGATCTTTATTTCAAAAGGAATTTTGTATAAACATAACTATTTATTAGTAACTAAACTAAATAACATACTAGGAAAATTTAAATAGTAAAAAACTAGAAGATAAAGATAGTAAAACAAACACTTTGACCCTAGTAGCTACATGGTTCATAGCAGAAGTCAGTAATATCAAGGCAATGGCACCGTGGAGGAAAAGTCTTTGTGCAAAAGCAACTTTCGCAAGCTGAGTGACATGTTTCTCCAATGTCATTACACTGACACTGAGGAGGGATTGATTTTGTGCAAGGGCAGGAATCACAGCATGCTGTTGTTGTTGATTTAACATCCTTGGAAAGAACTTGAGTTATGAACGATGTTCCATCGATGCGAGCATCGACGGTCGCGATGAAGCCTACTAAGAAAAGCATCAAAGCTAACTTCATCATTGTTGCCTTCTTCTTCTTCATCATTTCCATTATTACTTTCTTTCTGTTATGCTGTATTTATCTTTCTTTGTCTTGTGAAGAGTATAGAGATACATGAGTCTATTTATAGAGTGCAACCAGGGGTCATATAGGTCTTTTTCTTATTTCTTTTATTATTTGTTTATTGAGATTTCTTCACATGCATTTGATTTTTGTATTTACTAATCTTTAGACACGTAATTATCCAAGCTGAAAAGGATAAGTTGCATTTTGTTCAAAGAAAAAAAAGTCGTAAGTTGCATTTTCTTATACAACTACTAATTAAGGATCATCAATTTGTTAATGTGCTAGTTTTTTCCCTTGCTGCTTTTTTTTCTTTTGTGTGGCTAGTTTTCCTTATTGTTATCTTTTTCTTTTTCTCCTTGTAATAATTAAAATTGCGGGTTGAAATGGAGAAGGATTTCAGAGATTATATGGGATGCTAGAGTAATGTTGAAATTGAAGGAAATTTTTTATCAAATTGAGATAAGACCTATATTATACGAGATAAAATGTTGGACGGTTAAAATTCACTCAAATATAAAGTGTACTAGAGATGATGATGTTGTGTTAGATGTGAAGTAAGACTAAACATAATAAAATTAGAAATGAAAATATTAGAGAGAGTGTTGTGGTAGGCCATATAGTAAAAAAGATAATGGAAAATAGATTTAGATGATTTTTGCATGTAGAGAGAAGAGATGTAGACTATGTGGTAAGAAGAGTAGATTAGATAGATAGGATTCAAATAATTAGAGGGAGGTCTAAAATGACCATGAGAAAAGTTATTAAAAAAAATTAGAGATTTACAATTTGAATAGAAACATGATCGCGAATAGAACATTATTATGTAGGTTGGGTTGAAACATTTTTTTAAACATTATTTTAATATATTAGATATTTACAATTTGAATAGAAGCATGATCTTGAATAGAATATTATTATGTAGGTTGGGTTGGAATATTTTTTTAAATATTATTTTGATATGTGTGTGTGCATGTGTGTGTGTGTGAAGCTCTAAGAGAATGTTGTGTAACCAACATGATTCTGAAATCGCATTAGCAACACTTCGGTACTCAGCCTCTAGACTAGAATGAGAAAGTATGAATTGTCTCTTGGAAGACCATGAAATTAGGTTGTCACAACGAAAAACACAATAACCCGAAGTAGATCGACGAGTGTCGAACATCCACCCAATTAACATTTGTGTGAGAAACAAGCTTCTCGATGGGAGAAGGATAGAGATGCAAACCATATTATAAGGTGTCTTGAATGTAACTTAAGATGTGTTTCAATTCAAGCAAGTACTCGTTGCAGGGAGTATGCATGTGAAGACACACCTGCTGGACAACATGAAAGATGTCCGGACAGGTAAATGTGAGATACTGCAAAGCTTCGACAAGACTCTGGTATAATGTAGATCATCATATGAAGTGTCGATAGAGGCATTAAGCTTCTGCTTGGTGTCAACTGGAGTAGAGGAAGGTTTGCATGAGGCCATGTCTGCTCGAGCAATAATGTTGTTAACATAGGTACACGGACTAAGAAACAATCCTTCTACATGTCTAGTCACTGCAATACCAATAAAATAGATCAATGGTCCTAGATCCTTCATAGCAAACTCGGAGGTAAGAAGCGCTATGATAAATTTGCGTAGGTCATGAGAGGAACTGGTGAGGATGAAGTCGTCAATATAAAGTAAGATGTACGCCATGTCAGATCCATGTTGGTAGATGAAGAGAGAGTGATATAAGGTATTGTGCTGAAATATGGTGGAGACATAATCACCAATATGTTAGTACCAGGCATAAGGTGTTTGTTTCAGACTATAGAGAGATTTCCACAAGCGACATGCAAAATTTGGGTGATGAGGATCACATAAATATAGTGGTTGATGCATATCAACAATTTCATAGAGATCACCATGTAGAAAGACATTTTGAACATCTAACTATTAAATGGGCCAAGACTTGGAGAGAGAAATGGTGAGAATAGTGTGAATAGTCGCATGTTTCACCATAGGGCTGAAAGTCTCACCACAATCCACTCATACAATTTGAGACCTGCCATCACCTACAAACCAAGCTTTGTAACACTCAAATCAACCATTGGATTTATTTTTATGCCGCAAAACCCACATACAATGAATAATGTTAACATCACAAGGAAGAGGAACTAAATCTCATTCATTTTTTCTAATAAGAGCATTAAATTCAGACTGCATTGCGGATTTTAAATTAGGGTCAAAAAGGGCAAGTTTATGGTTTTTGGGATGAGGGAAGATAGTCGGATCATCAATGGCAACAGACAGGTTAAAGAGTTTCCTTGGTTTGTAAATTCCCCTCATGTTGGGAGTGGCCATGGTCCGGGCAGAGGTGTGGGTTGGGTCTGTGGTGTAGACGGGGGAGATGTAACTAGGTGATTCAACGGGGAGGAAATGGAAGTGGTTATAGAAGCTAGTGATATATGGGGAGGATTAAGTATAGGTGATTATCTGAGAAGGTCATCTGGTGGAGACTCAAAACATGTATGAGTCCACTGATGTATAAGGGAAGGGTGTAAAGCATCAGTGAAGTAGTCGTATGTAGGGGAAGGTGTGGAGGATAGGCGGGCAAAGGATTATTGAGTCTCATTAAAGATGACATGTCACGAGATGATGATTTTTCTGTACGATAAATAAAAACATTTATAGCCTCTATGATTTAGGGGGTACCCTAAAAAACACGGAGTCGAGCAGGATGGTAATTTATTGATCGTGATGGAGAGAAACAATGGATATCAAAGACAATCAAAGACGCAAAGATGTCTCTAAGAGGGATCACAATGATATAGAAGTTGGGTATGAGAGAGATTAGACATAGTTTTATGGGGAAGAATGTTAATAAGAAATGGAGTCATTTGAAGTGCATGATACCAAAATGAAGGGGGGGACGAATGCATGAGTGAGAAGATCATGAATCATGTTGTTAATAATGCATATTTTTCGTTCCAACTTGCCATTTTATGATGAAGTGTGAGAGAAATAGAAGAGAAAAATGAGACCATTAGTAGCACAATAATTATGAAAAGATGTATTGTCATATTCTCATCCATTATCACATAGAAACCATTTTACTATTTGAGAAAATTGTGAGGGGATTTAATTTGAGAGAAAAGTGAACATTTCGAAAAATTGAGATTTATTAGTTAGAGAAAACCTCCACAGAAAATCAGAAAAGTCATCCAAAAATAAAACATAATAGCGATGACTAGCTAAACTAAAAAATTGGTGATTTCCATACGATGTAAAATACCAAAGGACATCACAATAACATTATTGGAGGAAACAAAAGGTAACCTAATATGTTTTCCAAACACACAAGAAGTGCAAATTGTCTTAGAATTTAAATGTTTATAACTAATGAACTTATTTCTATGAAGAGATTGCAAAGGTGAAGAGCTTGGATATCCGAGACGACTATACCAAAGATTGTAAGCAAGACTGTCAAACGGGTAGGAAGTGGTAATTGGATAGAGATCTCCAAGGCTATCATATCTCATGAGTTGAGTCCTTGTCTGAAAATCATTTACCAAAAAATCAAAAGAAATAGAAACATTATTTTTCAGTAGTGAGTTATCGCACATAAATAAATTTTTTGACAATCTGTGGTGTGTGTAAAAACATGGGTAAGGTTTAGCAGATTGTTTTTATGGGAGGTGGGTAAGGTTGTGTGTCTAGAGCCCTAAATTGAAATTCCATGTAAGCTCCAATAAACAGTTTTTGAGTTAAGTGACTCAAATTAGAATAAGACAAGATATTACCTTATGACGCTGCTAAGTGGGAAGAGGCATTTGTGTCCATGTACCATGTGTTGTTCGAAGGAGTGAGAGACGTGGTGTGCATAGAATATATGATGTCAGTGGGTGCCAGTGAAACTATGGCAACATAAGCTTGAGGATGCTGGCCCAGAATACCCTGTTGATAGAGAGGGACAAAAGGGCGAGCCCGCTGAGAAGTAGGATACGGGAACTGAGGAATGGCCCACTATGGTGGAGTCCAACCCCACTCCTAGTAACAAGGATATTGTTTTTGTGATTGTTGTTGGTTCCATGGAGGAGAACTTTGTGTGTTTCTACTGTGATCACCATCATGGTTACGAATATTTCCATACCAATTGTGATTGTTGCAAGGACATAAGCGATTTCTAGAGCGGCTAGTGCTCTAGGATGAGTCATCGGAGGGACGTTGCTGAGTGGTAAGATAAGAGGCAGGTGACTCAGTGAGCATCATTATTGCTAAATCGGATTCTTCTAATATGAGCATGGAACGCTCCTAATGAAAGGAGTCTAGTAGATTGCTCTGCTGAATGAAGGTGCCCACACCACTGTAGACATCAGTCAAGCCGAAGATGAACTAAAATACCAAATGATGTTTATTTACGGGAGCTCTAACATCCTGTAATTGGTCAGAACGCGTCTTCATACGTTGACAATAAGCAGAGATATTTGAAAAATTCTCCATGAAAACTCTAGAAAACTCCTTCTCTAGAGTGACTGTGAGTGAAACTTGACTTTAGATATATTTTGTATGATGTCTAAACTATAAAAACTTAGCATTTCGATATATTGGACGATATCCCTGAGTTATTTGGCACCCATTGCATTTAGAGGTCTTAGGAATAATTCAAAACAAGTTTGAAATTGGTCCCAATCATGAAAAATCAGTTTACGCACAAAAAAACAGGCTTATAGACCGTCCTATACAAATGTGATTTAATATTAAAGCTTGCGGCACATTCAGCATTTCTGCTTTAAAACACAGGAACATGCACCGGCCTATACGATTTATACATCGACACATGTACTGCATTAATAAAGCATGTAACTACTGTTTTGAACCTGTCGGCCTATATGATTTTAAGGTCGGCCTATACTATTTTGTGGGTCAATTTTTCATATTTTTTTATAAAATAGCTCTCTTTTTCCTAAAATTTCCACAACTATAAATACATCATTCATGCATCTTCCAGACT